AAAAAAAAAAAAACAAAAAAAAAAACCCAACTCAAACTATTTAAACTATAGAGATGTATTGGTTCATGCTGAAGTCCAGAGGTGAGTCAAGCTTTCAGGAATGTCTTCATCAGGTCTCTGGCTCAATTTTTCTGCAATATTTTCTTGGTCCTGCCTTCCTCTATGTGATGGTTTTGTCTTCTGGCTGGCTTCCCTCATGGTGGCTAAAATAAAAATCTGCTACATCATACCCTATATCACACTACCCAGAAGGCAAAAGAATGTTCCTCCCTCATCCATCACCTTTATTGGACCAACGACCCTATGTCCTTAATAATCAGGAGGTAGGATAGTGTAGTGATTCAGTACGTAGGCTTTAAAGCTGGACTCCATCATTTACTAGCTCTGTGATATTGGGAAAGTTAACCTCTTTGCGCCACAGTTTCCTCATCTGTACAATAGGGATAATAATAGTACCTATCTCATAGGGCTGTTGTAGGAATTAAATAAGCACTTAGCAGACTGTCTGGCAATTAGTAAATGCTCCATAAATGTTAGCTAGTGTTGCCAGCATATTTCCTTAGAAACATCTCCCTTCATACTGTAATTTTCACATTCTTCTGGTCAACACTGAGAGTCTTCCTGACATTTCTCTGTTGAATTTGTAGTCACTCATTCAACAAATATTAAATCAGGACCAATTGTTCTAAGCACTGGGGAATGAGCAAAACATAATATCCTGTCCTTGTGAAGATCACACTGTAGTGGAAGGCAGGAATGGGAGAGAAACAATAAAAAAAATATAATATTTCAGGTGTTGATAAGTGCTATGTTGAAAAATCCAGCAGGAATGAGTATGAGGAAGTGCAAAGGAGTGGGGTATTATATTCTAAATGTGGGCAAGGGAAAGGCTCTTTGAAGAAGTGACATTTGAGTGGAAACTTGAAGAAGGTGAGTGAGCCATACCGATATCTGGGAGAAGAGCATTTGAGGCAGTCATGATAGCATGTGCAAAGGTCCTGAGGCAGCAATATGCTTGGCATATTGGAAGAACAAGAAAGAGGTCAATGTGTGGCTGGAACACAATGAGAGGGATGAGAGCATTAGGGGATGAGGTCAGAAGGTCAGCAGGAGGGAGGCACGTCACACAGGACCTGTCAGCAGGGAATAGGACATCATCTACAGAGTTAAGTTTTATAACCGAGGCCATGGATAGAGAGGAGTGAGAGCCTCAACTTGTCTAGGGGGACTGAAGGGAGGTCTGAGAAAGCTTCTCAGAAGGGGTGGCTACTGAATTGAGCATTGAAGGAAGAACTAGAGGCATCTGGACAGAAGGAGAGGAGCAAGCTAAGTAGTGAAAATGCTCAGCAGAGAGTGCTCAGAGACTGTGGTGTATTCAAGCAAATATGGTAAGGCTAATGCATAAGGAGGGAGGTGAGGAACCCCAGAAGTGGCCAGAAACAAAGCAGAGGAAGTTGGGAGGGGCTGGATTCATTGATCCATTGATTGATTCAAGTGTTTATTGAGCACTTGGTGTGTGCCAGACCTTGCACTAAGTCTGGGAACACAGTGATGTACACAACAGTCAAAAACACATGAACAGACAAATAACAGAACAACAGGACAAATTAGAGAACACATTTAGACAAGGTATTCAGGGAAGACCTCTCTGAGAAGGTGATATTTAAGTAGAGAGTTAGGGGCAGAACATCCCAGACCTTGCTCTCCGGGTCACCAATTCTCTAATTTTATTTCTCTTCCTTTTCAAGAGGGCACGGAGGTCAAACAACAGAAGGACAGTTGTAACTGTTGGCCTGGCAAAGCCGGTACTCTGAATTCAAACTCTGCTCCGCTCTCAGGAATCTCGTATCTTAGGCAGGTTCTGTGGAGGCAACACGAAAAATACAATTGTAAAATCACAGGTAGGAAGAGGCACGGAGAATTTGTTTGGTCAGCTCCCAGCCTTTGAGGAAAGTCTATAGCTGCGGACTGAAAGACAACGGTCCTCTTGTGTCTCACAAGACCCCTCTGGCTGTGCTGTGGAGGCTGGAGGTTGGGGGTGGGAGGCCCTGGAGGCTGGAACTCTCATTCAAGTGAGAGATCCCGACAGGAGAACCGTGTAGGAGGGAGGACCACTACCTGAATCAAGTTACAAAACATCTGCACTCCAGAAGCGTAAAGGTACTTGATTTAACCTTTTTAGGGGGTGATAGCACCTCCTCCACAGACCACCCTCACCGCGGCCTCTCCGTACAATCCTAGCCTGGCTGGCGAGGAGCGAGCTTCACCGAGACCACGTGGCCAGGTTCCTAGAAAGTGAAAGGACCAGGTGTTTCTTCCTACTTCGTCTCTCCCGGATCCCTAGGGCACCGCCCCCAGCCGACTGATTTGGGACCCAACTCCAGGCCACGCCCACCCAAGCACCGCCCACTCGGCGCTCCTTTAGGGCACGCCTCCTTCCGGCTCCTCCTAGAGTGGCCACGCCTGAGCTCCCGCCTCCCCGCTCTGCTTCCGGGCCCGCCTACTTCAGGCCAGCTCCTATCTTGCCCCTCCTGGGCTTCTCTTCAGCCCCGCCTTCACCCTCTTCGCTTCTTAAGGCCCCGCTTCTTTCCAGCCTTGCCCACGCTTCCCTCCACCCGTGACTCCTCCTCTGGGCAGTCCCCCTTTGGCCCCTCCCACGGCCCCTCTTTCCAGCACTCCCTGGCTCCCGGCTCTCCGAGGCCTCCACGACCTTCCCTACCTGTCTTGCCGGTCATCCCAGGGCTTCACCACCTTCTCGGCCCCGCCCGCCTTCGGCTGCAAACTGGTGTAAGCGGCTTGCTCTTCCCGCTTTGGCCCCGCCTCCAGGCCCCCATCTCAGTCCGTCCTCCCTGTCAGGCCCCGCCCCGGCCCCGCCTTCTTCCCCTCCCCGCCCAAGCCCTGGACCTTTCCAAAGCCAGGCTGAGGAGGTGGGGAAAGCCCATGCGCCTGGGGAGTCGGGCTGTGTCAGGGCGGGGCTGCGGACTCCTCGTGCTCGTGTCACCGTGTCCTTTCCCAGAGACAGAGAAGAGGAGGAGGGAAAGGCAGGGTTCAGGGCCAGAGCAGCGGGCGGAGCAGAGCCGAGGGAAGCCTCTCCGGGTGCCCCCACCCCCGCGCGCCTCAGTGGTGCCGGCCGAGGGAAGGGCTCGCGGCTGCGGGGCTCGCGCCGCTGTCAGTGCGGCTGGGCGCGCGATCGGCGCGGGCGCGGGGCGGCAGACCTGAGAGAAGCTGAGGGGGCTGTAGCGGCGGCGGCGATTCCCGCGCTTGTGCTCAGCCTTCTCACGCCGCGGCTGCCTTTCTCCTCCCTTCCTTGCGACCCCAGGTGCGGGGGCACCGCCTCCTTCCGCGCCGCGCAGCTTTCTCCAGACCTCTAGGTGCGGGTGAGTGGGGGCCGCGGGCGTTTCCTTAGGGGTGCGGGGGGGTGTACCTTGTGCCTTTTCATTCGCCTACTTCTTCAGGCGGGCCACTGCCTATTTTTAGAAACTCTTATTTCGGCCATTCGGGGAGTCCCGGGAGCCACAGTAACTCCAGGCCCCCTCTTCCTGCTCCTTTCTCCCACCCGGACCCGCCGCCCTAGGTCTCTGGCTCCGGTCTGTCCGCGCCCGCTCCCGGCCGCCCTGGCACTCACTGCCCGCTTCCTCCCCGCTGGCGGAGCCTGGGCCAGGAGTTGGCTGGGTGGGCCCGCGCCCGCTCGGAAGTTGGAGTCTTTTGTGCTCGTGCCCCGCCCCGCCCGGCGAGGGGAGGAGGGAGGGGAGCGGAGGCCGTGCGGGGGAGGCCTCGGGCGGGCCGGGCCCTGGCTCTGGCCCCAGCCCGGGGCATCTTCCGGCTTTCCCGCCGGGGCTGGGTCTGCGGGCTCCCGGAGGCGCGCGAAACTGGCCCTGCCTCGCTCCTCGCGGGCTTGAGCACCGCGCTCCCACCTCTGCCGGTCCTGGGCTCGTTGCACACCTCGGCCTCGGAGAGGAACAACAGGCCCTCGAGCTGGGGCCCTGTTCCGCCTTTCACGAAGCCCCCTTTGCGGCCGAGCCTTAGTTTGCCCCTCCGTGAAATGGGGAAAGACAAACTTGTTCGTGGATTCAGAGAGGAAACTATTATAATATGTGAGAGAAGTATTTAAATACCAGCAGGTAACGTTTAATGAGACTTGACTCAGGGGCTTCTTGCTTTATTTCGTTTAATGCTCACAACGACCTTCTGGGGTATCCCCATTTACAGAAGCAGAAATCAAGGCGCAGAGAGGTTAAATAATTTGCTCAAGTCACAGTTAATAGCCACGGAAGTGTAAAGCAGTGGTGCTAGTACCTGTTATTTATTTTCTGGTGTGAGCGTGTATCATCTCTTCGTGCAAAGGGGATTTTGACTTACCCTCGGTCACACCATTTAGTTAGAGATAAAACTCCGGGTTCTCCCTGAGTTCTGGGCCATTGTCCACGATACAATGGATGAAATCCCATTCTGGGGTTACCATAGCACCGAGAGAAGGGAGGTTAGGATGAATTTCTTACTAATATTGCCGTTAGAAGTTGATGGTTGGAAGGACTCCAGATCTCAAACACAACTGAAGTTCCCTGGGGTTTTGGTTGCAGGAAGGCTTAAGACTGTAAAAACAGTGAGGTCCATTTTTTGTTTATGGCATGTTTCTCCCCCAAACTTTGCATGTTCTCTATGTTGTTTAGCTTTATTGATCCTAGTTTGAGGAGGAGATGGGTAGCTCAAGTCATCTGCTTCAACTCTGCTCAGATTTCTCCTATTTTCAGATAAGGCCCAGTTTTCCGATTTCTTTGATACTGGTTTGGGGGAGTGTTTAAAATCAGGCAGGGGAGTTTCTAGGCCAGGTTTTAAGACTAGGCTCCTGATGTTTGCATTAGTTCTTTGGAGTCTGGTAGGTCTGTTGGTCTCCCCCTCGCCCCCCCAACACACAAAAAGATTTGGATTTAGTGGTCATGGTATGTAGGAGCTGGAAGGTGTCTTACAGACCATCTGGTCCAACTTTCATACCTGCCTTTCTTCTCTTCCCTATTAACTGAACCTTGGAAAGGGGAAAGTAAGTTGTTTAATTCACAGACTGCCTTAGTGACAGAATCAGAACTGGAATTCCAAGTCATCTTCTTCTCAGTCCAGTAATATTTTTATTTCTCCCATACCTTGCCACCTCGCAAGAGGGCATTAAACTACTTATTCAGGCCTTGAAGGTCAGGAATCCTGAGTAATTGGAAATCCCAAGGAGGTTGTGTAGTCTCTGCCACTCTCTGTGCCTCCTCCTAGTGTTACGAGGAGACCTGGTTTTGCACACAGGTGTTACCAGTTCTCCTAAGTTGCCAGTTTTGTTTTATATTATTTTATATATGGTTTATAGTATTCTTCTGTAACCATTATATGATTTCATTTCTAATGCAGTTCTGTGAGGGAGTTTGCAGAACTTGCCTCCTTTTCACTATAAGGGAATGAAGATATAGCAAGATGAGGGCACTTGCCTTAAATCAAAGAATTAACAAGTGATGAGGACACAACATGGGCAGAGGATTTGACATGACTTCATAAACTGAGCAACTGATTGTGGCTCTCTGAGCTTCAGTTTCCTTATCTGTAAATGCTCAGAGGGTTGTTGCGGAGATTATGAGAAAATGGCTCTGAAAATGCTTTGTTATTGGTAGTAATAATGGCTAATATTTTTTAAGTAGTTAACATGTACCATGAGTCACCAGACTAAGGTCTTTCTGAGGCATATGTCATATAATCCTCAGAGTAACCTATGAATTAGGTACTATTATTATCCCTGTTTTACAAAAGAAGAAACAGGCTTAGAGAAGTTACATGACTTGCTTAGAGTCATATAACTAGTAAGTGGCCAAGCCAGGATTAACTGCAGACAGTGTAACTTTAAAGCTGGCATGCTTTTTAAAAAATTGTGGTGAAATATATATAACATGAAATTTACCACTTTAACCGGTTTTAAATGTATAGTAGCATTAAGTACATTCACATTGCTGTGCAACCATCACCACCATCCATCTCTAGTACTTTTTGTCTTCCTCAACTGAAACTCTGTACCCTCCTTATTCCCTCCTCCCCCCAGGTCCCTGGCAACCACTTTCAGTCTATGAATTTGACTACTCTAGAAACCTCATGTAAGTGGAATCATACAGTATTTGTCCCTTTGTGACTGGCAAAGCTGTCACACTTAGTGCTTTCCTTAATCTCAGTGTGCTTTGTGTAAATGCAAAATGATTGTTAGTCCTCATCTGCAGCAGGGATGTGGCATGCAATCCCAGAGCAGGAACCAAGGCCTGGTGGTCATACCTTTGGTTGAATCTCCCCCCCAACACCCCGCCCCCCATGGATTGGAGTTCCTTATCACTGAAGTCTTTTTTGGATCTCTGCTGGCCCACTCTGTATCTTCATAAGCCTTACACCCTTGAAATAGAACCCAGACAACTCTCTAGCTTCACCTTGTTTGTACTTACTTTCTGACCATCCGGAGTTTGAGGATCTGGGACTGCAGTGATCAGGAATAACAGTGCTGTGACAGCAGCTTGGATCAAAACTACTCAGAGGACGATTAAATGGATTACCTTTATGAAATGCTCCCTCTCTCCTCCCCCCTCTTTCCATAAAAGCACACAGGAGGGATTAGCTTTTGGGTTCCTAGAGGGTGTTTATGTATCCTCACTGCTTGCAGGTGGTTAAGATGGAGTTAGATGCTGCATTTAGCCTTTCAAAATTCCCTTTGATTTGACTGTTTCTGTGTCTTTCTATTTGGAAGCGGTGGTGTTTATGAAAGGTGGTTGGAATTTTGTTTTGATACCACCAGGGAGTTGGGGTAGGGGGTGTTCTAGAAATGGGTAATAGGGTAACAAATAACATGATCATATGTATGGTCATGTCATGGTCTCCTTAAAAATCTGATGGCCCAATATTGCTTACATATTAAAGTTCAAACCAGTGTGACCAGTGAGTTCAGAGTGTGTTGAATTGTTTATTGGATAGAATCCTGTAGTTGAGGAGTCTTAAATCGTTTAGATGAGCCACCTGGCCAACATTTGAATTCGTTACTTGTTGAGATTCTGTTTCATTGGACACTTAATTACTGAAAAGTTTTTCATTCACTGAACAGTTACTAGGCATCTGCCAGGCATAGTTGTAAGCTTGGGGATTTGGGTGCATATAGCCTCGTGGGGAAAACAGACAACGTGAGAAGTGTTGTGATGGACAGACGTCATGAGAGCACAGTGGAATGGTATCTAACCCAGCATTGGAGGGTTTGGAAAGCCTTCCTTGGAGAAGTTGGCTAACCCTAGACCTCAAGAAAAAATCGGCACAAGCCAGGGGAAAAAAAAGAGATTTGGGGAGTCAGGGAGGAAGCAGAGATAAGACTGTTCTAGATGGAAGGAACAGCAAGTTCAGCGATGGTGATGCTAATAGGTAAGACTTTTGGCTATTTACTGTATCTGTCAGGTGCTATTCTAAGAATTCAACATGCGTTAACTCATTGCTTTCCATAAACACTGACAGGTAGCTGCTATCATTACTCCCATTCTGTAGTTGAACAAACAGGCCCAGGTGGAGCATAAAGCATGAGGTGGGCGAGTGTGGCAAGGGAGGAGACTGGCAAGGGAGGCATAGCAGAGGCCAAGTCAGGAAAGGGCCTTGTTGCCTATGTTGAGGAGTTTGGACTTCATCCTGAGGTTAGGGGGCCAGGATTCTGTGTGCATTTCAGAAAGATATCGCCAGTTACATGTTTGGGGAATAGACTGGAGAGAGCTAGAGCACCATGGGTAAAGAGACCAGTTAGGAGGCTGGTGCAGTAATACAGGCAAGAGGTGATAGTGTTTCAAATGAAGGTAGAAAAAAGGTGGAATTGAGTGATAAGACAAAGATTGGTGTGGAGGATAAGGAAGGAATCATGGTGACATCTGGGTTTCTACATGGTGCAGTTGTGTAGATGCTGTTTATTGAGGTGGGGACACAGGAGAAGAAGGAGCACATGAGGGAGGAGGGTTTCTCATGCAGAATCTCCTTACACATACTTTCATTTACTTCTAGTTAGGGATCCTAGTTCTTCATGTCATATCTGGAGGGGAGGGAGTGAGAGTATGGCACAAGAAATCTGGTCACTATCCCTGGCTAAACTGGATAATACAAACACTAGTTTTGGAAAGGAGGAAATACATTAGATCCTAGACATCCAGGCCCTGTGCAGCCCAGAAGACTTTACGTTAAGCCAAGAAAAGCTTAAGTTTTCTCCAGGCAACATCTTTGGCGCTGCTCTTTCCATGTACCTGTGTGTCTCCCTTTAAGTCTAAGTCACTTCTCTGCTTACTGTCGGCTAGGCACTAGGAAAACAAAGATGAGTAAAACGTAGCCTGAGGGGCTCACCTTCCAG